TAAAATAAACTAATAGAAATTTAATAACATCCGATCTCCACATTTCCTTGAGATATTTACGACATGATGACGTCATTCCAATGTCTTATTTTGGTATTATGATCGATTCCCCTTAATATTAGATGAATGGTTTTTTGCTTGTTTTATGTTTAATATCACAGATTTTTATATCAGTTTTGTTTTCAAGAATATAAACAACAATCTAGTGATCAACCAAAAAAAAGATGTTTCACACATTTAACAAAGGAAGTTTAAATTCTTTGATGTCAGCTCAAAGGCGGTTGTATAATAATTACGGTTAACAAAGAAGAAAACATAAGAGATTGCTCGCATTGTTTTTCATCAATAACACTCTCATCGTGTATTCTTAAGTTGTAAGAACTTGTGTTTTTGAAAAGGTGTGATGGGGGTTTTTGTGTTGCAAGCAAAGTCCAGACTGTTATGATGTACAATAACATGTACCTACAATCGGCGTTATTTCCAAGAAAAGGACAATGGAAAGAATCATTCTTTGTCAGATCAATGAGACAGTCTAAAATAGTCTGAAACAAATGTCATCATATCATACGGATATGATCATATCATACGGACATGATGACTTTATCATAATCTTATTTGGCTAAATCATTGTTCCAATGTATGGTATTTCAGCTGAAAAATTCCATCTTTATTGTATGCTTGTAAGAAACTGAGAAAGTTCATTCTATTTACAAATCTAGAGAAATGTCACAATTTGAAAATATCAATGTAATATAGATAAAGTTTACATCATTATCTGAATGAAAATCAAATTTGGACACAGCTTTATTTAACAAATTTTATGATATAAACCCTTGTTTTGATAAATCACCATCTCTATAAAATAAACATGAAACAAAAGGTAGAATATGCAAAAGAAAATATCTAACATATGTTTGCGGTTCAGATGGGAATATCCGTCCCACGGTTACCCACCCATCGGATAGTAACGAGGCTTGCCCCTCCCCTCGGGACAGATATTCCGATCCCAACCGCAACATATGACAGATATTATAATCTTAAGTACCTTTATCATCATCACAAGTTGTTGAAAACATATCAGAAATAAATATATAACACCGATTGTCACTACATTTTGTTATTGAGGGGAAATGACTCGCAATTTTACCTACTGTCTTGTGTCCGACAGAAAAGGTGTGATTTCTTTTTGTATTTCTGCCGACAGGACTAGAAATTGGGTCCGAGAATTCGGTGTTCAAGCGATCAATGGTAGAACAATATATATTATGTAGGAATTTTTCCGGGACTGGACAGTGAGTTCGAGCGAAGGGGGGTATTCGAGCAGTCCGAGTTCGAGCGAACAAATATTTACTGTAATATTATCGTCTTATCTTTTTTTTTAAATTTAAAGATTATCTTTATTTCAATGTGTGAATGAACACTGAAATAGTAATTTAATCATATTAAGATTGGTTGTTAATGATGTTGTCCAAACGAACAAAGACTGACAGTGATCTTATCGTTTCTAATATCAACTTCTAACAAATTCAGTTTTTTTTAAAAGCTCCCAAAACAGGTTATATGCACAATGAGTTCTATAAAATTTTCATAGTAATAAAACATTTACAAAATAGAATGTTATTTTGACTAAACAATTCGGCTGTATTTAAATATTCCTAAATAGATGTTACAAAAATGGTTGCAAGGAGGACGCTCCGACATCGATCATGATACATCATATTCTTACATAACCGTTAGGCTCTTTGTTCTTTATAAAAGTATGTCTGTCGGTAAATTATGTTAATATAAAATTCAAAGACATCATGTACAATAGTTTAAGAGTAAAATAAAACATTATTCCAATGGGCGGAGAAATAAAGTGACGTGCCGTTTCTTCAAGCATGTTACAAATTGAGAGTGTCTACAAATAACGTTTTTAGACTAATTAACAAACTTGTCCATAGTTAAGTCTCTCAAAGGCTTGCGAGGCGTTAATATCCCACTGAATAAAAGCAGGAATCCATAAAAACTTGAAACGTGACGTCAGTACGGAAAATAAACTGAGAATCAATCTCTAAAAATAACATATTTTCCTGGGAAATAAAATCTGACTTGTCAGCGTCAGTTGCGCTAAAAAAGACAATCAAAGTTAATTGCTATTTAGTGTAACAATCTTTAACGATAAGGATTTATATAAATCATGTGACATCGCCTGGTAATGAGCAATTGTGCGACGAGGTCAGTAAAGATTTTCAATGTTTTACAATAATTAGCAATAAGTGTTGTGCGAGGGTGGGACATAGTTTAAGTCATTCCGATATTTTAAAATCATATCGTGACTTTCATGTTGTTGTGAAAAAAGGATGACTTTGTGTGATTCAAGGTTACTTAAATGGCCTATTAAGTCTAAAGAAATTCTAATATTTTTTTAAAGAATTGTTTTTCATGGTAGTCGCATAGCTGAAACATCTCTTTTTATGTTTTTGGCAATTAGTGCATTAATAGTGATTAAGTATTTTTATATGGATGTAAAATTACAATGTACTACTTTACTAACATTTTATTGCATTTATCAAATATTATTTTACATTCAGCGTTTTCCTTTAATATGGTAAACATCTAAAATATTCAAATTTGATTATAACAACATTACAAATCACATGTCCGACATTTCTACAGAAAAAAAGTAAAAACATTCATTGCTGGGCTAAATGTGCCTTTAAAGCAGCATGCCTTCATTTTCATGCTAATTTTCATGAATATTTTGAAAATGTATTTAAAAGTAAAATATTGTGAAAGTAAGCAAAAAAGTAATTTACACATTGCAAACGTACTTACAATTCATGTAAATTGCCCAAAGGAGGTAAATAATGCTAAAATAGCCCACGCAGTAGAAACATGGTAATAAATACTACAGAAATGGTCACTTATTGCATATAACATCTTATATATCACTTGAATCTTGAATCTTTGTACTTTTCTTAAAATATTTGTACATTTTTCTAAAGTTTGAATTTCTTTTAAAAAGTTGGCTCGCCTGGAATCATGCATGAGCCTTTGAATTACCGCAAAATATCCGTGATTATGTGAGAGTATTTCTTAACATGGCGCAATTCAATTTTGTTGCGTTATTTCTTTTGTTACCGATTTTATTATTATTATTATTATTATTATTATTATTATTATTATTGTTTGGTTTTGCTTAGTTGTTTTTTTTTTACTTTTTAAAAACAAAACTGAACAATAAGTTGTCGTTTTTTATATTTTGTCATTTAATCTTGTTACCATTCATTTTATAACCTTGATGTCGTTGAGAAAATGGATTATATTATTTTCACATTCTTCTTAGAAACGTTTATTTTTTATGAAAACACACATTAGTACTTTTAAAAATCATATATCATGCTCTAGATTACCTTTCCACTTTTACAATCTTTATAAGCATAATGTTAAATCAGTTTAATTCCCTTTTCCCTATAAAAGTTTTGTTTTTTCTAATGTAACCATTCTTTATTCTTACAATTAAAATAATTTGAAATGTGTTTGTAAATTTTGTAAAATGAATACAATTTTTTTTAAACTCGATAATAAAATAAATACAACTCAAAAAAAAGAGAAACGAGCAAGGATTATATTATTTTCAAACATATAAGAGATTCTTATGATCGTTACATGGATGATACTTTGTTGCCGTAAAATAAATTAATACATACAAAATAGCATCGATTCCGGCTATCATATTATCGACTATATAAGGTTGTCAAAGCGGGACAACTTTCATCTCATGAATATTATCAGCATCAGTCGAATAATTTCCCCTGAATCACTTGGGCCTCTATAACCGTAACATATTATATACACTCCAGTCATCTATACATGTATATATTTATCATTAATCAAATTAACTTTTGAAAAAATAAACAAGAGATTAGATTACATCAACTTCTCATATTTTTTTTTTAATTTTAGATTTTAAGATTAAAATTTTCAATGATACTTGCGGCAACTAGAGGCGAGATTTTCTGCGAAAGTTTGTAAGAGTTTTCTCCCATTATTAAGATAGAGTTCACTATTTAACTTTTAGAGACATATCATAGGATTGTATTAATTTAAAAAAAAATACATAACTCGTGTTCTTTTCTTAAATACAATTAGTCACGTACATGTACGTAGGTGACAAAAAAGAAAATGTCATTATTCTGTCTCTATATCGACTTTCGGATAGTATTTTATTTTTCATTGAAGTTATATTATGCCCATCCATGATTAAACGGCGACTGTTTAAGTTAAATTTAAATAAACTTTGATTTATTGAATTTTATTTGTTTTCAATTTTATAATATAATTATGTCACCAGATCAATCAACAACCCCCGTGACTTACATAATATCTATAAATATCCTTATAAAAGTATCGATAACAAGTTATCCGAACTGTTAATTATTATCTTTCTTTTTTTTTTTGGTCAATGACTATAATAAAAGTTCTGTAAAAAAGTGACCGTTCGGAAGCATTAAATACAGCAAAACTACATGAGAATTGCACACTCGGGTTGATTGAGTCTGTATATAAGGGATAATGAAAAAGTGGAACATCCCTCAAGCCCTTAGCAAAGTCAATCTTTGGAAATATATAAGTTTTTAGCTCAACTTGACACTGAAAAAAATATGCATAATGTCAATGTCACTTTAAATGCAACTATAATTATCAAAGTGCCTGTATAATGTACGTATTTTTGGCGATTGGAAAACAGCTTTCATTATGTTTTTCTTTCTCCTTCTTTCTCTTGTTCCTTTTATAATATGCATATGCACTCTTGAGTATGAGAATTATAATTGAAATAAGACTTGCAAAGCTAAAATTGTCATTACTGTGTCAAGAGTATGATGTTTTCGGAAAGACCAGCTCCAACTTTCACTGTAACTTGTTTACCTTATTTTATATTTTAACTTTAACCAATTAACCATACTTTATATTTTCAGGATCGACAGGAAATTATATGAACACACGTCATCCCGATAATTATGCGTCATATAACTCTGTAGACTAAATGAACGAAACAAAGGAGATGTGACCAACAAGTACATGTATATCCTTTGTTTTTATATAACGTAGTTCACAGTTATACATCAAGTTAACAAGCCAGCAGTCATCTAGATCTCGGTTAGCAGACAAAGTTATAATGGCATGGCGTCTAGAAAGTGCTCCAAGGATATGTATGTATCACCAAATCGTACAAAGATCCCGGATGTATTTGTTATTCAAGACTATTCTACCTCACCTCCGAATTCTTCCGGTCTTCAAAGTCATTTATCACCGTCATTTGGCGGTTACCTCTCCCCGGACTGTAATTCTTCCGTTTACACAAGGTCAAACAGTACAGTGTCATCCATCTTTGATTTGTCGTTTGAAAGTGAACAACTTGACCGATCTCTTAGAGCGAACGACGCGTTTGCAGTTTCTAAAATATTACAAATACATTATGGGAAGTTCCCTATTAACTTTCGGAGCTCGACTCCTTGGGATAGACATAGTGTTGATACCAGAGGCAGACGACCAAGTTCAAGGTCACAGGACCAAGATGTTTACTGTCGGAGGCAACCAACACACTTTTTGGGGGACGGGTTTGATAGACGTGAAAGTGTTACACCAGAGTGCGATATACCGGACATTTTCAGAACTGCACTTCATGTTGCTGTTATGCACAATTCATTGGAAGTTATTGAAGTTCTTTTAAAATATGGCATAGATCCGAATGAGCCGAGATCAAGTTTAATTAACACTGAAAGACGTCTTTCGTCATTTTTAGTAGATGGCAATAAACTCAGGCCAGATTGTGTCATAGAAGAATCATTAGAATGTAATTCTGAAGACAGTTTAGTAAATAAAACATCATCTGATAACCTAACATTAACGGTACCCGTCCCAATTATTAATGCTCCCATCCCGCCTATTCCAACATCGCCTCCAATTCCTCCAGTTGACACCGCTAGAAAGCAAAGCTCTGCATCACACGATACGACTAGACCACGAGCATCATTTGCGATATCACTCGACAATGAAATATGCTATACAACGGAAGAATTGTTTAATCTCCCTCCAATATTTATAGCTATACAAGAAAAACGAGATATTGCTGTGATATTTCTATTACAATACGGCGCTGACGCAAACGTTCAAGACCGCGCCGGAAATACACCGTTACATGTGGCGGCAACAGATTCATGTTATGACCAGAATATTTGTACAGTATTAATACGGCATGGTGCTAGAATAAAACAAAGCAATAAACATGGACAAACACCGCTTGATTTCCGCCAAGGTCTCTATGATATGCAAATTAGCGTTGTTAAGGAGATGTTGTCAGGGAAAAGTAGTACGATCAGTCTTGATAAATGTCTAGAAGCTAATAAACAAGGTAAAAGAATCTCGCTGTCAAGTTCTGCGGACTCCGGCTCTAGAAACACGAGTAGGTCTGGCAGTATCAAAAAACGTTTCTTCAAGAGAGGCGAGTTACGTGAGAAGGAAAAGGTTACACGTGAGCGACGCCGATTAGAGAGTACATCTACAGGCACGGGTAAGTTACACAGGAGTCTAATATACCATTATAAATTAAATTATGGTTATCAAGTTTATTGGCTTATGAAGGAAAGTGAATTGTTAAATATCATTCGGGCATTTCCGAAAGTAAACCAAATCCCTTTTTTATTGTAAATATTTAAATAGAAATGACGCTTTAAGTTAAAATAGTATTTGTACCGCCCCATTATTAAAAAAATGTTAATATAATTTAACTGACTTAATACAAAATATCAGTTGAATACAGTTGCACAGAGGTGAAGTGTGTGTTTTTATCTCGTGCACATGAGATACTATGTCGTCGCCACGAAATGATTAAGTCGTTCAGTCATGAGATACTATGTCGTGGGCTGGCCACGAGTTACTTAGTCGTGCCCACGAGATAATTAAGTCGTGGGCACAGAAGGCTATGTCGTGGCCATGAGATACTTAAGTCGCGCGCACGAGATACCATGTCGTAGCCACGTGACCACCAATTAATTAAGTCGTGCACACGAGATACTATGTCATGACCACAATTTACTAAGTCAGGGGAACGACTTAATTATCTCATGCTCACCACTTAATTATCTCCTGGCCATGACTTAGCGACTCGTGGCCACGACATAGTATCTCGTGCGCACGAGATAAATAAAAACGCACACATGTCATCTTTATGCCACTGTAATTGTAAACACAAAAAGGTGACTAATTTATTGTTCAAGATAGCTGTAATATCGTTTGTCCGAACAGATAGAACACACTATTAATCAAACACGCGTCCTAATAATAGAATCGGATTTCTTTTAAATGACGTTATGATGGTGAGTACATGACGTTACGTTAAAATAATTTAAACTATTATAAGCATGGACTTATTTATTGTACTGTTCATCAATTGATATCGCCACAATTAACAGTTTAAATCTAACAATTATTGACTAGTGAGCCATTATATACAATACAAAATATAGTCTTGTCTAGGGTTGGACACCGGTTCCCGGTATCGGTCCTATACCGAATAGTAACTTCGTAAATTACCGGTATATACCGTTTCGTAAAATACCGGTACTGGATTTGATACTTTTGTAATTTTAAAAAAAATTTAATAGTCAATATGTCAAAAAAATAAGAAGATTTTTAAATAAAAACAGCCTACAAACACGTAAAACAAACTATGAGTTACTATTATCATGCGGCGAGTACGGCTTTCGCGGCAAACTTGAAGTTTGTGACCAAACTCCTCACAGCGGTTACGTCACGCTTTGCTACTTTAACTGTTTTTGTTACTGTACAGATCAGGGGAAGTAACCGCTGCGAGGAGTTTGGTTTGTGACGCGGCGATATTTTTGTAAAAGTATTGTGCCGCTTATGTTCAAGATAATAATATTTTTGTACTCGGCAGGAAAATATAATTATTTGAACTGATTTTGCTAAAAGTTTGTAAGTTTTAAATGTCAAAGAAACAACGAGAAAACAAATCAAATACTTGAGTAATCATCGGCACATCGCACACAGTCCTTCCAAACACATCGCACACAGCTTTTGCCGTAATGACAATGTAAATCCAACATATGACAATTGTTTATTCAAACAATGCTTTTAAAAAATAATTAAATCCTTTTTTCAGTTTAAGTCTCTAAACACTCATAATGAATACATATTTAATGTTTTCAGGTTCTTTTCATCCATTACCACATGTACAAATCCACACGTATATTACGATTTAAACATAAATGAGGCCGAAATATTCCAACAAAATATGCCTCCTTTTGTTTTTGGTGTAACACTGAACTATTATTAAACATGTATACATTTTCTTAACAAAAGAATGCTGACAGAACTTCAATCAAAAAGTGTGAATGTCGGCGGCTCTTTGATGGTGATAGAGTAACAACATCAAAGGGAAGCATATTCTTTTGAATAGCCTATTATGCACCTGTCAAAGGTCAACTTGTGTGTATTACACATTTAGATCTGTGATACTTTAAACAACTGAAACATATTTCATATAGTGTTTTGTAGGATTTTTTGCAAATGTTGGCTAGTATTTTTGCGTATTTTAGCAGTATGGAATTATGCAATTTGGTAAGGACAATACTTTTTTTCTGTAGCAAGATGTTCACGGTGCATGCTATTAAAAATAAAAGATGTATAAAATGAAGGGTAAATTCAATATTAATAAATACCAAATCCTTATTATTTGTAAAACATAGGTATTTGCTTTATGACTTCTACAAGGACTAATATTAGGTTAACATGAAAATGTAAACAAGTCATTTTGGAAACAGTCTATGCTGACTGTGCATATACATGTATTTCAAAATTTCTAAGTTAATTACTGGTGGAAAATATGTTTGTGCTGTTGTAGTAGAACAGACTGGAAACATAAGTGACTTTGAAAAAAGTATCTAATGAAATTTCTTACATGTAATTCCAAATTACAAAGTAAGCCAACCAACCAATCCAGTGATTTCATTTATTACAGTAAACAATAATGTGATTTAAAAAGAATATCAGCATCAGAATAAAATAATAGATGTAAGAAAATAATAGATAACCAACTGTTTTAAATTCTTTCAGATGTAGAGATATCAAGATTAAAACAATAATTTGTAGACTTCTCAGCTGCAGACTGCTGTCCTGCATAAGATATTTTGCTGTGTTTAAATTATGTCATGTCCTTTTGATGAAAAAGTAAAAGTATTTTACAATTAACATATGTAAATGTTGTAAAAAAGAGTAAACACAAAACAACAAAAGAAAATTATACTTTACAGCATGAAATTTCAGAAAGACCAGTAATGTAACATTTTCATTTTCTATTACTACATGTTATATCTCTTCAGTTCTTATATTTGCAGCAACGGGTTTGGTATAAAAGTATCAGTATCAGTATCGATAAAATACCCGTATCGTTTCGTCAGTACCGGTATCGGTATCGGACCGTTTCGTGAAGAACGATATCCAACCCTAGTCTTGTCTATATATCTTCCTTTTCTGTCAATCTACTATCGAGGACGTTGACAGTCGGCGCGGGAAGTCACTAAGAAACAATATTAGGGGAAAAGGCTGTTCAAGCGTTCAAGTTAAAGACTGTTCTCGGATAGAATGAGAATGTATAGTAGTCTGTCTGGCTGAGATTAACTTATAACTCAATATAGATCTTCCCTTATTGGGTAAGATAACTTCCCTTGGGGTGGCGACTATATCATAAGTGTACGTCTAAAGACAGATTTGACCAAAAGCACAGATCTTTTTTTGGACAGATTATATCTGTACAATTCGATTTTGACTATTGTGACCCAGACTTCAAATACATATTTTAGTTGTGGTCGGAAAAGGGCGGCATCACATGATTTTCAATGGCTCACTTGTCAATAACTGTATATAATGATTAACAATTAAAGCATCAAAATGGATAAAGCTTTAATGCTTTAATTCATCATCATAATCTTAAGTCCACATAATCGTTTTAATCATGAACAACAGTAGAGGTATGCTCTTCAACATATTGAATTTAACATCTTAAGGAATGAAATAAGATTTTATTTACCCATAATGTATAATAAATGTCTATTTTTATGTAATAATGATTGTGTATCTTTATACAGACATGTTTTCCGACCATTCCAATGCCAGTTCATACAGAAGCACGTGTAGCAGGAGTAGGATACAGTCTATGGCGGTAACAGAAGACATGGATATGGACATTCATCTGGTGAGTCAATATCACAATTACATGTTGAAACGAGTGTAGGACAAAAGACCCCCCCGGACGAAAGCCCCCCCGTCACAAGGTGGACAAAAGCCCCCCCCATGAAATTTACAGGTAGGACAAAAGCCCCCCCGCCCATCTTTTTTCACACGTACAGGTGCTCAAATTAATCAAAATTCACACAAACTTTTAAATAAAAATGAAAAGAATTAGTTTTAATGTTTATTTATAATGTGTATATTGAAGTGATAACAAAGTACAAAGTATATGATAACAGATGAAATAATGCATGCATGCGATACTGAATTCATAGCTCTTCATATACACAACCAGGGTCAGAAGAGTAGTAATGTTTAATCACTTTTGTAAAGGGATCAAATTGATATCGTTAGCACTATGTCAACTACATGTGATGTCCATAATATCTTTTAAACACATAAAAACACAACTTTGAATCACTATATGTTAATTTGATTGACCGTGGGGGGGGCTTTTGTCTTACCTTTACTTTTTATGGGGGGGGGGGGGCTTTTGTCCTATGTGTAAATTTCATGGGGGGGGCTTTTGTCCACCTTGTCATTTTATATATGGGGGCTTTGTCCGGGGGGGGGGGGGGGGGGTTGTCCCTATTCCCAGTTGAAACCGGTGACGTGTATATCAGAAAACAAGTAGAAAACCCAGGACGTTTATATCACAATTACGGATAATATGATTGATATCACAATAGCAGGCAGAAATCGACGACGTCATTATCAGAAATACAATTAATGTCACAATAATGAGAAGAAAACATGACGTCAATATCATAATTCAAACAGTAACGTCAGTATCACAAAATAAGTAGAAACCCCGTCACGTCGGTATAATAACAAAAAGATTAACGTATTTAATCAACAAGTTAATAAGTGATTTTGTTTTCTGATACTAATTTCCCATTAACGATGCAATTTGATGTCGTAATTTGACGTCATTCAAGATCAGGACAAACAAAGTGAGAGTAGTCAAGTAAAAACATAACAATCACTGTTTTCTTGCACTTCTTTAAATTTGGTTTAGAAAAAGTAAAAAAAGGATTTGTAGATCATAGATCCAAGTACTGTCCGAAAAAAACGTTTCAATTTTAGAAGCGAAAGCTTCTGAAGTTTCAACTTATAATCACATGCTTCTTATCGCAACATTCATTCGGGTTGAAAAAAGTAGTCACTTGGTACATGAGAAAACATTGCATAGATATTGTAGTTTTGAGGCAGTTCAAACTGTAAAGCTTAAAAATTATGAACACAAACATTGCATTCGTTTAACTGTATAATCTACTACGCATGTCAAAAATCGCAATTTCTTAGTCCTTTTAATAATCTGCAAGTCATTCAAAATGCGTGTTGCTCCCTATGAAGTTTATTTAACCTGGCGATGCTGCAAATAAAACCAAACGTACATCTAAAACTCTAAGTACTCTGATTTTGTTACATACGTCAGTATCATGTCGATATTGTACATAACATTCAAGGTGTACTTATAGTTAGCAGACAATGTTTTAATTGAATATTACTTCTACAATTACATAACACTTCCCCTGAAAATGAGTGTAGGACAAAAGCCCCCCCCCCGGACGAAAGCCCCCCCCCCATTTAAGAATGACAAGGTGGACAAAAAGCCCCCCCATTAAATTTACACATATGACAAAAGCCCCCCCCCCCTTAGGTTTAAAGACCAGACTGATTATCTTTTTTCAAACGCCCAGTGTTCAGGAACTTGGGTTATACTTCAAATAAATCTAAACAAGTATGCGCCTTTCACTTTTATTTCCTTGATGAGCGTTGATAAGCGATTCTCTGAAAATATTCATTTACATTTGTACTGCACAATATATAATAAAAGTAAACATAAAAACATTCATATCATCAATGAATTAAATATACGAATTACACAATAACTCAAATTAGAACTTTTGTACGTTACCGATTTTGACTTGTCTCAAAACATCAAGTTCCGGATTTAAATTGTTTTAAGGACTGGGGGGGGGGGTTGTCCTACCTGTATTTTTGATGGGGGGAGGGGCTTTTGTCCTATGTGTAAATTTTATGGGGGGCTTTTGTCCACCTTGTCATTTTAAGATGGGGGGGCTTTCGTCCGGGGGGGATTTTATCCGTATCCCCCTGAAAATAGTTCCAATTAAGTATGCCAAGAGTACTTTTCTTTGTTATACGACAATGAGTAATTATTACATCTACAGAGTTACATAACAAAGTCATATAAAATTCATAAAACATCGTTCCAATCTAGTATGCAACGAGTTCTTTAATTTTTCAAGATAAATCGCTAGGATGTACTTTTAAGGCTTTTTATATTCGAGGGTGGTTCAAAAGGTAACAAGACTGCAGCTGTACTATTTACAGTTTTAATTAACAAATATATTCTCTATATACAATGACAAAATAAATACAAAATACTCATAACAATTCGGTGACAATTTTAAAGGACAAGGGGTACGCTACCCGACGCAAGCTTACAATACAATAAATGACGTTGATGACGTCGCAAAACAAATACACTTCACCCCGCATAGCTTTTTTTCTGGAGTTAATATTTCAATATAATGCTATGAACAGTCTGGGGTATGACGTGTTAGGGTATGAAGTGTCTGGGGTATGAAGTGTCGGGGGTATAAGGTGTCCGGTGTATGATTGTAAAGAGTTTTGGTATGAAATTTCCATGGTCTAGTGATCAATCAGTCAGCCTGCAAACATGTAACGGACCGAAGTCGAAGGCTGAGGTCTGTTCAATGTGTGGGGCGGGCTGGTAGGTCCGTATTACGCTAACAAACAACATTTCAAGTAAATTGTACTGAACATTTTTTACGGTCACTATACTTATTTCTTGTCTGAACGCTGACATCATCGCGAATATTATTATATAATATTTAAAGACTTTTGACATATATATAAAGGAGCATATTTGTGTAAGGTATCATATATACATATAGATAAAATATTGAGAAGTATTGATGAAATAAAATGGATATTTTCATTTTCCGTATTTTCACTCACTGAAGTGAAATATATTTTCTGTATTTGTTCCTTAATTCAGCTGATACACATAATTTTGAGAAGTGTGTTCCTTTGTAAGGTCAAAAAAAGTATTCAGTAAACAAAAAATTCAAATTTTTCTTTATATACGGGATTTATTCTCATCTCGTGGTACAAAAAGAAATTATCATCTTTCATTTCACTCGATAGAAATAGATCCCGTATTTATAGAACAATCTTAAATATCATCTATATAACCACGATACTAGTCTTAATTCATCTTTTTAAGTCTACATTGCTAGACAGATATATCTCTAAACTGACAAAACGCTTTTTACAGGATTTTCAGAGTTGACAAAACATCTTTTCAATGATGTAGTTACATAAGTATGATTTTTTTTTATAATATTATAGGTTTTCAATAAGGCCAAACAAATAAACCACGGAGTTTTAGTGAATTAGTCTGTAATGGAATGTCCATATAACAATATAATTAAATTAAACAAAATATTATTTTACATCATAATTATATCATGTGTATATATGTTCATACTAATTCACTTAGAACTGTATCAACATTTTTTTTTCAAGAAATATTTCATAAGCATATCCGAAAGATACATTTCTATTGTTTTTATCACAATTTGAAATATTTATTGAAAATGTGCATATTGTAGACCATGCCACTTTAATGTAAACATTAATGTACAAGTAGGACACACTATACAGCATATAGACAACGACAAATGCTCGAAACATGATGTGACCAATCACAATATACCAATTTACTTTTAAAACATAACCAATCAAAACAGATAGAACTTGTAACAGTATATATCAGTATGCTGTCAAGTGTCTTGAAAGTTTTTTCTCTGTTATTGATAATCGTTGGAAGCATAAGCGCGCCTTCCCGGAATTAATCAGATATAGAGATACTAGAGTAACATAGAAAAACAACCTGTCCCAAGAACTCGAATCCTAGACAAACAAGATTTTTACAATACAAGTAATAAAATGAAACTATACTGATCGTCGGTGACTAATTTCAAAAATCATCAGATATTGTCTGCATTAAATCAGATAAATCATTATTTGAAAAATCAACCTGCGTGTGTATTCGTCCTCTCGCGCCTTGCTATAGTTTGTTTATATACTGTCAGGCTACGATCTGCACGGCCTTGGTTTATAAATTCTGCACGGTCTTTGTTTCTATTGCCCTGACGGTATTGCCGTAAATTGCATGTGTATGTCTTTCATAAGCGCCGTTTGATTTGACAGGGTCACCACAATGTGAAACAAATGTGTCACAAGGTTCAATTGGATTTTCCATTTGTGAATATCGCACGTTTGGTCTGATTTCCCAAGGGACAACTATAAAACCGCGGCAGCAGTTTAATTCTCCTTGACATTACAAGGTTGTTATACGATCTAACCACATTAATCATTCATCACTTTTATTAATTATTTTAGTAACAGTAAACATTTGCGAGAATAATTTGATTTAAAGTTAATATTGTCTGGAATATTTAAGTTGGTTGTAAACATACCAGTCATGTATTGTAAAGAAGAATAGTATCAGAAATAATCCGAATAATGTTGTAGTTCGTCGTCGCATTTGTAAGTATAAGTATAACATCAATTTAACAGACGCGCATTTGTATCATAGTTTGGGGACCTTTGTGTTTTGTTAAATCGTATACATATACATGCACAGTGCGTTAACTGGTGTGCCGGTATTAGTTACCCGCACTCCAGAGATTGCCCATTGATTGGCACAGAAATATCATATTCAGATGCTCGTTCATTGGTTACTTTTTCCCGGGGTTTCATATTTTGACAACAGGGAACGTGTTTTTATGTTTGACTATGATACAAAAGCGAAGAACATCAAAGCACTCGGGAATCTGATTAATACTCGGTGGCTACACCCTCTCGTACAAATCAGATAGCCTCGTGTTTCAATGCTCTTTCTATTAC